CCAGAGGTGGCGCCGGAGGCGCCGCCAGGGAGGCCCAGGTGCCTGAGATCCCAGGACTCCACGCGGAGCTCCGAGAGTTTATGATTGTACCCTTCCGTCGTCCTCGAGGGGGGAGGGCGGCAGGAGGGGGGGGGGGGGGCGCACGAAGACGTACTAGTACTATATGTTCTCCATGGACCCAGACCCCCGACGTAATATTTTTTTCATTACGTCGACCCCCGGAGGTCCCGACCCTTTCCCCATGACCGGCTTTGCATCCTGAGTCGTTTTTTGACGCTCCCAAGGCCCGGTGAGGGCCCCCGGAGGCCGAAAATTTGGAAAAACCTCCCGTCATGATTTTTTCATTACTCGAGGGGGTCTGGGTCGACGCTCCCCACGCGCGCTTCGTTGTCTGGGCCGGGCTGGGCAGCCAGGTGCCCATGGCGCTCTACGGCGCCGTGCCGCTGGTCACGGCCGTCCACCGCTGGGCGGACGGCGGGGCCCGCCCCTTCTCGGGGGGTGGGGGGCTGTGGCGCACCGCCCGGGTTCGAGGGAGGCGGAGGAGGAGGAGGAGGAGGAGGAGGAGGAGGAGGAGGAGGAGAGGTAGAAAGGGGAGAGGAGGAGGAGGAGGAGGAGGAGGAGAAAGGGAAAAGGGCGCGGAGGAGGAGGAGGAGGAGGAGGAGGAGGAGGCAGGAGGAGGAGGAGAGAGGGAAGGAGGAGGAGGAGGAGGAGGAGGGGTGAGGAGGAGGAGGAGGAGGAGGAGGAGGAGGAGGAGGAGGAGGACGAAGGAGGAGAGGAGGAGGAGGAGGAGGAGGAAGAGAGACAGGGGAGGAGGAGGAGGAGGAGAGGAGGAGGAGGGAGGAGGAGAGGGAGGGAGACGCTACAATCTTAGCATTGAAGTCCGAGGGGAGGAGGAGGGAGGAGGGAGGAGGAGGAGGAGGAGGGACGAGGGGGGTGAGGAAGAAGGGGGAGGGAGGAGGAGAGGAGGAGGAGGAGGAGGAGGAGGAGGAGCGACGAGGAGGAGGAGGAGGAGGAGGAGAGCAGGAGGAGTGCGGGGGGAGGAGGAGGGGGAGGAGGAGCAGCAGGAGGAGGAGCAGGTAGGAGGGGAGGAGGAGGAGGAGGAGGAGGAGGAGGAGGAGGAGGTGGAGGCCCGCTCGAACCGATGGCGGCTCTCCTGTACAATATGAAGGAGGATACAGAGGAGGAACAGCACGTAGCAGCGAAGTGGATTCGCACGATCGGTTCATTAATCAGAAAGGTTTCAGACCATAGGTCGTGCATTGTCTCGAGGGATCACATATACTTCGTTGTTGCTGCCACGAGGAGGACGGGGAAGGCCGACGCGATGCGGAGGAGGCCACTTCTCTTTTGCAACTCCCAGGATGTTGAAGTAGCCATCGCCCCTGGTACGTCCGTTGTGCTTCTCCAACCTAACTCGGCTTGGTCTGACCTCTCACGGAAGATTGCCTCTCTGCTCCTCGATTCCGTCTGCCACACTTTGCAACCCAGATGGAGTGTTCGTGCTCGTGCTCGCGAGTCCCAGGAGGTGGCGCTTGCCGTAGGGCGTGGCCAGGACTTGCTAGGGCCACGGCCTTGCAGCTGTGCCTACCTCGCGAAGCCAGGCGGGCGCACACTCCTCCTCCTCCTCCTCCTCCTCCTCCTCATCCTCCTCCTCCTCCTCCTGCGCACTCCCCTGAGAGACCATGAGTCCGTGGTGTCCACAACAGTGCAGCATGCATGCAGAGAAAGGAAAAGAGAAGGGCAAAGAGAGGCAAGGGGCGGGGGCCTCCTCGCCGCCGTCGGCGGCGCTCCCGTCTAACCCACATAGGGGTCCATAGGCATGTACAAGGGAGCGCAATCCGACTCGGGCGGTGTGAACTGGCCGATCGGACACGTCGGAGCCGAACGTGCAACAGCGTCACACATGCAACCAGCGACAACGCGACAAAGGGTGGCAGGCCACTGGACGGATGAGGTCAGGAAACCGTCCAGGCAGTCAAAGCCTGACCTAACGTTGCCACTGAGAAATAGGGACCTGGCCGAAACACTCCTCATTGTCACCGAATGCCTGGGCAAGCTGAGGGTGAACTCGAAAACTTCTGAGAAACCAAGGATCCAGGCGAGCTCAGGCAACTCCCAGGGCGACGGTAAGTGCGGGGTGACCTGCTGATTCATATGTACTAAAACGAATGGGATCTGCAAAGCACGAGCGACGACAGAAACCAGAATCGCAAAGCGCAGGTGACAGTTGTCGCCCTGCACTCGTGCCCTCCTCCTCCTCCTCCTCCTCCTCCTCCTCCTCCTCCTCCTCCTCCTGATCCCAGGCCATGCATGGGCCTGCCAGAGATCGGCGAATGCGTGCAGCTGGCGCCCTCTGAGCCTGGCTCGTCCCGTCGGAGGGGGGCGCCAGCAGCAGCCCAGCTTGCCCGCGGGCGCGGGGCTTGCTCGCCCGCAGTGCTGCTGCTCCTGCAGTGTGGACAGGCCGCCTCCGCGAGTCTGCCCGTCTGTCTGTCCAGCTGTTTGGTCTGCGTGACTCTCTCTCTCTCTCTCTGTCACTACTTCAGTCTGCCTGTCTGTCAGTCTCTCTCTCTCTCTCTCTCCCTCTGTCTCTCCCTCTGTCTCTCCCTCTGTCTCTCCCTCTGTCCCGGTGTGCCTTCCTCGCCGTCGCGCGGTGGATGTGAGGGTACAAGCTGGGATAAACCGCGACCGCGCCTCCTCCTCCTCCCCCCTCCTCCATGTTATTCTTCCTCCTCCCCCCTCTCTCCTCCTCCCCCCCCTCTCCGGCTGCGCGCCTCACCGATGGGCGACGGGGGGCTTTGAAGGGGCAGCGCAGCTTTGCCCGGGAAAACACAGACCAGCCTACAAGGCTGGCGGCCACCAGCGTCTCGCCGCTCGAGAATTATCGGCGCTAATCGCATGCCCGCGATGATAAAGCATCCCCCCTTAACCCCTGAGTCATGATTATCCATGGGGTACTTACATTTGATAGGCGGGCGGAGCGGCGAGGCAGAACCTTAATCCCACCAGGGGAAGTACGAATCGTACATTTAATCATGCTATCATGATTGTCCTATGTTATTTTCAGCGCTGATTGTTGTCATCATCATCCTCTCGTAGACGCCCATTCTGGCACACTCCTCACACGGTTCTTGGCCCCATGGGGTGCCCTAGTGCGATGCCTGCTATATCGCGGCGAGATGTGCCTCCTATTCTTGTATCTCCTTCTCCTCTCCCTCCCCTTCGTACTCCCTCCACGCCGCCCCAGCTGAGCTTGCTTATCGCCGTCATTGTTTTTCACCCCCCAAAGAGCAGCCATGAGTACTCTTGCAAGACGAGTAGAAAACCACCACGATTCCTTCTGTTTTACACACAGAGTTCAATAGGTCCAGAAGTTGATGTCTGTTGAAATCTCCCCGTCAATCTCCTCCTCCCTCTCCTCGACGTCCTCCTCCTCCTTCTCCTTCTCCTCCCCCTCTTATCTTCCACCAGTGCAGGCCCCGCCAGAACCAAGAGCGAAGAGGATTTCTCAGGCTTCGTGCTCCTACATCCGTACACCGTTCATGCCTTCATGCGACTTGCCGGGTAAATATTTTGTTATCCCCCCGGGGCCCCGAATTTTGTTATCCCCGTGGTGTGATTATCGCCGGCGCCAGGGTTACCTTTCGGCATGGTGGGATCGAGGCGGCATCCGAACTACACGAGTCCGGTCCAGTCCGATCCCTCTTCGTTCACGTCCACATATATTCGCCCGTTGGTAGTAGGTGGTAGGCTTGTCGTAGGTCTCCCCCCTGTCCTGGCATTTGTCCTTTCTCTTCCTTTCCTCCTTGCTCATTGCATCCCTCCTCATCTCACTCCTCCTCCCCCTCCTCCCTCCTCGCCCCGCTCTCTAATCTGAAGACTATCCTCCTCTCTCTCCCGAAGACGGGATGAGAATCGCGCCCCCCGTTCTGCGTGTTGAGTTAGGTTGTTTGTGGTTATGCGTTTCCAATCCGGAAGTGCTCGGCCCTTCCAAAACGGTGTTCCCTCTGCAGCGTGGGCGTCATTTCAGGACCGGGGCTTTGCTCCTGTCGTTCCAAATGGCGCTCTCGCCCAAGCGCAGGCCACTTTTCTCAAACCGAGTTCTGGCTCCTCGTTGTCGCCCCCCTCCTTTCCCCTCTTCCGCCTTTCCCTGGTCCTCCTGCTCCTCCCGCTCTTTCCACTCCAGTTCCAGCTGCTGCTTTTCGTCCTCGTCCTCCTTCCTCGTCCTACTATTTATTCTGGCCATCCTCCTGCTCATCCGCCACCTCCTCCTCCTCCTCCTCCTCCTCCTCCTCCTCCTCTTCCTCCCTCTGTGCGCAGCTCCCCTTTTCCGATTGCGCATCAGGCGATGGGTTCCAATTGGAAGCCCCGGCAGGTCCGCTGCGGTCCGCGCCCGCGGACGTAGAACACATCGGCGCAGTGGGAAGGGCTGGGCGGGATGGGGTAGAGTGCCAGACCTGGCGCGAGCGCACCCAGCCTGTCCTCTCCCCCTCCCCTTCTCCCTCTCCCCCTCCCCCTTCCTCCCCCCCCCCGGAGAGAAAGGGGGGGGGAGCAAGCACTGCCCCCCCCCCGCGGGGCGCGGCAGGCGCGGCGGCGTCCGGCTTCTTCTTCTGCAACCCGTCCGAGGGCTTCGTGAAGGTCGACGGGCCAGACTCCGGCGGGGCACCGTCGCGAGGGCGCGAGAGAGTCACGACGGTCGCTTCTTTGTACCTGGGACGACGACGGCGATGAGCAGGGAGACATCGTGGCAGCAGCTGTTCCCGGACAGCACAGACACGGCAACACCGGCGACTTGCGACGCATCAGGGCTGCCGCACATACGGATTGGTGGAGAAGGCATGATGCCGCCTATGCTTCACAGCACCGAGTTGTTAGTTTCCATATCGAGGCTACAGCCTCTACCGCCACGCCCTAACGGGCGCGCGCGAGCGCCCACGCGGCGGGCGCGCGCAGATCCGGCGTTCGCTCGCTCGCTCGCCAGCTCGTTTCTTGTTCCTGCAACAGCTGCCCAGGGACGTTCCCGACCCTTGATATAAACATGAGGCGGTTTAACCTAGGGCCGCTCGACACAAAGAGAAAGCTGAAGTATCCGCAGTACCCTTGAACGCTTCGCCAGTGAACATCGAGCCAAACTCAAATGTTCCCCATTCACATCATCATTCTTGCGACTCCGATCGCAGGCACGAGAGTGGCCATGATTAGACCAACGGGCCAAAAGACGGGGGCGGGAAGGATAACTAGAAATGAGTACTGGGAGTAATAGCGACGCGCGCTACATCCGCATGAGAGAACAGCGCCGTTGCGCGATATGGCAAGGATTGCGCGTTACGCAGCGGCCATCGCGATGAGTGCATGGCGTTGGCTGGTGCATCCTTGCGGCCGCGCTGGCCCGCGCATGCTCGCGCGCGCAGCGGCCTGCTAGTCTGGCGCGACCGACGCGGCCGCGGTGGCGCTGACCGTTGGGCACATCCCAGCGGGCACTTCAATGTGAGTCGTCGGAATGGGTGAGTGTGGTATCATGGTGACGCCGGCAACGGCACACGCGATTGTGTGAGTAGCGATGATGGTGACAATGGTGGCGATGGCGACGGCAAGGCCGATGACGGCGCCGATGCTGATCACGCCCGCCGACAACGATGACGATGTCCTGGCGTCGGCGATGAAGTTTTTGTTGGAGGAGTTCGGCACGCGCGCGCGGCCGACGCGCGCGAGTGGCCCGCGTGGTATTATTCGACACGGGTCGTACCCCCTCCCGCACGCGCGCAAGTGCGTTCGAATGAAATCGACATGCGGCGCGAGAGGCCTATTTGGCAGAATTGGATGAACTTGTCGGAAATGCTGCTATCGTCTTTAGCATCCGCAAGACCGCGAGCGCAGGTTTTGTTGTTTGGAAAACTGGTGTTGCACAACACGGTGCGTTACATGTTTCCAGGACCCTCGTTTTTGAAAACCATGCGACATGCAAGGTTCTCGAAGGATTTCAGCACGCGCGCGCGACGACGCGCGCGTGTGCACGTCGTACCGTTTTTTGGCAAAGGGAGTCTTCGATTGCACGCGCGCGTGCCGTTCGAGTGATTTCGCCATGCGCGCGCGAGAAGCCCGTTTGGTGGCATGGTATGAAGACGTTGAAAAAAAACGACGGTTGTGTTTAAGACTTCGCAAAAGCGCGGACGCAGGTTTTTTGTTGAAAGAACTTGTTGCGAAACTAGGTGTTTCTATGTGTTCGAGGCTCCCAATTTTGAAATCCTTACGAAACCTCAGGTCTTTGAAGAATTTCGGCATGCGCGCCCGACGACGCGCGCGTGCGCTCTTCATCCCAGTTACCACGGGATGTAGAAAACTATTGTTTGTTTAATACAAGAGTGCGCGCGCATAGTATTCGCTGCAGAGGATGAGGGGTGGGTTGGGGGGGGGCAGACTCCGGCCTGACTGGGACGGTACGAAGATTCATTTGGAACATGTGCAAGTAGGCGGAAGCATATGACACTGCAGTGCGCGAGGCCAGCTTGACAAGTCCTGATGTGTGATGGGGATGGCATCTAGTTGCTTATATGAAGAAAGCGGGGACCTTCTGCGGCGTCGAGGCGTCGACGGGGCGGGCCGGCGACGGCGGCGGCGTGGCCGCCAGACTCGCACACAGGCCCAGACGACGGGCGGCGACGGGGAGGCGACGGCGGCTACATAGCCGCCAGAGCTCACCGACCGCGTTTCACGACTCGCAACATGCCTACTCGCAAACGTCCGAAAATCACATGCTTGCTTCGAAGTAATGGATCGTGAATCCCCTGCGACGGATCCAGGCCATTTGCGAGTAGTTACTTTGCGAGTAGCGGAACGCGCTTGTCTAAGAGCGGCAAACCACCCCAGTCCCTTGAAACCACCCCAGTCCCTTGCAAGCACGGTTCGTGGTAATCGTATAAAGACATGTATACACATGCGAGAGATAGCAGCAAAGGGGGTCAAGAGAGAGGAATTGGTGGGAAGAGGAATTGAGGGTGTAGGATGAGGAAGGAGGTAGATGATAATAAGAATAATAATAATACGAAAAGTAGTATTACTAATAAAAATAAGCATCATCATAATACAAATACTATCAATAATAATAATAACAATAATAATACTACTAATAATAATAATACTAACACTAATAACACTAGTAATACTACTAGTAATAATAATCATTGCAATAAGAAGAAACAGGAAGAGGAGGAGGAGGAGGAGGAGGAGGAGGAGGAAGAGGAGGATCATAACGACGAGTGGCGCAACAATGACCCGTACTAGCAGCACGCTGCGTGCACACCCGCATTGGCGAGCCCACGTTTTGGTACCAGTCATCACGTCAAGATTGGGAGCGCCAGGGCCGCAAATATCCAGCACCGAGAAATCAGCATCAGCGGTGTGAGGGCAGGCTTCTTCGGAGGGTCACCCGACACGCGGTCGTGGTGGGTGTTCGAGTCCGGCATCATCGACACGTTCCTCTTCGCTGGCGGGAGTGGGGCGCGTCCGTTTGAATGATGGTGGGGAAGATTATTGTCCCTTCTCGGCCTTGTCCACTCCCCAAAAACAGCGGCCCTCCCTCCGCATCCCCAGCCGCTCTCGTCGGTCTCCCTCTGTCTTCCCTTCCCCTCTCCCATCCCTTGCCTCGCACGCCCAGTCCTTGCCTATCCTCTCCCCCACCCTCCCCCTCCCTCCCCCTCCCCTCTCCCCCTCCCCCTCCTCTTCGTTCCTCTATCTTGCGTTTCCTTCTTTGCCCGTTCGGGGCTCTGCCGTAGGCAATGGCGCGGGGGAGGGAGGGGGGGTCCTGCACAAGAAGCTGCGGGGATCACAACGGAGAGCCCTTCGGGCACACGGAAAGCATCCCTTCAGGCAAGGCATACGAGGCCCGAGGCGTTGGGACCGTGGGACTTCTCGGGGAATTCCGCCCGCCATGATTGAAGACGCAAGTTCTGGAGGGTTCACGTCTGCATCACAGGCAGGTGGCAGGCCCCCTGCCTTTTGTTTCCCCTCCCCGCGTGCGGGGGGGCGCGCGCGCGGGGTGGAGGAGGTGGATGCCTCCCTCCCTTCCCCACTCCCACGGTTGAGCAAGGCCGCGTTTCTCGGCATCGTTGGATTACCCAGCGGTCGGCTGGTGTACAGGCGTGTGGTCATTGGGGACGCCGTCCGTGGGCGTTCGCCGAGGAGGAGGAGGAGGAGGAGGAGGAGGAGGAGGAGGAGGCCCAAGCAAGCTTTTGCAGCGGGTCGTCACCTGTGGGGAGGCTGTTCCTTGCAGCTGCGCCCGACCTCGCGGAGCGAGTGTGTGGCGCGAGGTCTGACGCAGTGGCGCTCTCTGAGGCAGCCCAGCCCGCCCCACGCGCCCTCCGGGACGAGCTTCCTGCGCGCGCGGGGGGCAGACAGCTCGACGGCAGTCACGGCCTCTCCCACCGCACAGACGACTCGGTGTCTCTGGGCCACCCCTGGGAGTGCGAAGCTGTTCGCGCCCCGAGCGCCACGGCCTGGGTCACACCGGTTGTCAATCTCCAAGAGGCGGCCCGATGGCGCGAGTGTGCCAGGATAATTGTGCGCTTCGCGTCGCATGGCGCGATGCGCGAGGTTGGGTGACTTGCGGTGGGGATGCGCATCAAGAGACCAGATGCTGCTCGTCAGGGTATCCTGGGTTTCTTCGCTGCGCGGTGACTTCGTGAAGGAACTGCGTTCAGGGTGCCTTGGGCTTCCTCCCAATTTCGCCTCGCGCGCGGGCATTCAGGGCTGGATTTCTTGCGGGGGGGCTCTTGTGGCCGCGCCCGCATTGCAGGTGTTTCCTCGTCTGCTGCACACTGGCTTCCAGAGGCGCGCCCGCCCGTTCCGCTGGTGCTCGGGGGCATCCCTGCTCATGCGGCAGCGGGGCCGCACGGTCGCACTGCACCCGCACCCGTGACCACCGACCCTTGCCTGGACAGCACCATGGCCCTGGTGTTGGCGCTCCAGTTCCAAAGGGAGCATGGCGGAGGCCGCAGCGAGCAAGGAACTGGGAGGAGGGAGGAGGTGGAGGAGGTAAGAGAGGAGGGAGGGGGAAGGAGGAGGGAGGGGGAAGGAGGAGGAGGAGGAGGAGGAGGAGGGGAAGGATGCGGAGGAGGAGGAGGGGAGGAGGGGAAGGAGGAGGGGGGAAAGGAGGGGGGGGAGTGGGAAGAGGAGGAGGAGGAGGAGGAGGAGGAGGGAGTGGGGCCCCTCGCCCCTCGGGGCCCCACCCTGCCCTCCTCCCCGCGCTGCTCCTGCTCTCGGCCCTGCCCAGGGCCCAGAGCCAGCGTCGCCCGCCGCCGAGCCCAGGCAGGCGCGCCCGAGCGCCACATGGCCTCTCGCGCCGACGGAGCTGCCGTGCGATGGTGCAGATCGGAGCCTGGCGCCGAGAGCGTGCGGAGATGCTGGGATCCCCCCTCCTCCTCTTCCTCCTCCTCCTCCTCCTCCTCCCTTCCTGTGCCTCCTCCTCCTCCTCCTCCCCCCCTCCCTCCTCCCTCCTCCTCCTCATCCTCCTCCCTCCTCCTCCCTCTCTCTTCCTCCTCCTTCCTCCTCTCCTCTCCTCCTCTCCTCCTCCGCCCTCCTCCGCCCCCCTCCCTCATCCTCCTCCTCCTCCTCCTCCTCCTCCTCCTCCTCCTCCTCCTCCTCCGCATCGGCATAATGGCACACGAAGGTTCATCCTGCAGGTACCCATCCTGCTCCGAGGCTCCCTCCAGGGGCCTCGGGGGGATCAACAATTTGGTCGTCCTCCCCGAACCATCTCCTAATCTCTCTCCCAGCATCCTCCATACATCCCAAGCTAATTCCTGCCCCTCTGGCCCCTCAGGGCCGCGAAATGCTCGCTGGCGTTCCGGTCGACGTAGTAGTATACCCATCCATGATATTATAGTGGTGGATGTCGTTCCTAGGCATACTGCGTCTGGAGGGGTGGTGGTCGTAGAGGAGGGTGGGTGGTGGTCGTAGAGGTGGGTGGGAAGGGCGTCGGGGTTTTGGGAGGGGGGGAGAGTGGCCAGGTCTCTGCTCGGGGACGCGGGCAGGGGTGGCCGCAGGCCATGTTCCCGCGGCGGAGGCGGGGGTCGCAGGCCTCTGACAGATGTCGCCGCCAACGTCGTGGGTGCGTAGCCGAAGAGGGGTACGGGGGGGGGGAAGCGTTTGTGTCCGAGTGCCGCCATCGGCGGGTTGCTTTGCCTCAGGGGCGGCGCCAGTCGGTGAGGACCGAGGGCGCTAGAGGTTGGAGGGGCGTTGCACCCTGGAAGGTGCGTTGTGTGGTCGTGTCGCTAGTAGCGCGGCAAGGCTCGGAAGCCAGAGTCGTCTTGTACCTGGTTCGAGGTGTGACGTTGGCGTCGCCTGTGTCGGCTCTAGTGCTGGTGCTGATGTCGGCTCCGGTGCTGGTGCTGGTTCAGCTGGCGTCGGCGGTGGCGCTGGGTCTGCTCCCGCTTGTAGAGGTCCCTCTGGTGTGAACTCGGACTCTGGGATTGGTGCACGTTCCTGGTGGCGGCAATGGTTTTGGTGGCGTGGGTGGTGATGCTGCTCGTGAGCTCGGTAAGGCTGAGTGTTGGGTGCCTGCTGGGCGTGGGGCTGGGCGTAAAGAAGGGCGTCGGAAAGGGCGTCGGGGTGGGCGTCGGCTTGGACGTCGGGAAGGGTGTCAGGGTGGGCGTGAGGCTGGGAGTCGGGAAGGGCGTCGGAAGGGGCGTCGGGTTGGGCGTCGGGAAGGGCGTCGGGAAGGGCGTCGGGAAAATGCGTCGGGAGGGGCGTCGGCGGAGGCGTCAGGAATGGCGCGGGGCTGGGCGTCGGTTAGGGCATCGGTTTGGGCGTCGGTTCGGGCGTCGGGAAGGGCGTCGGGTTGGGAGTAGGTTTTGGCGTCGGTTCGGGCGTCGGGAAGAGCGTCGGGTTGGGCGTAGGGTTGGGCGTCGGCGGGGGCGTCGGGCGGTGCGTCGGGAATGGCGGCGGAGGGAGCGTCGGGAGGGGGGGCGCGATGGGCGTCGGTGGGAGCGTCGTCCGGGTCGTCGTTGGGGTGGTCGGCGTCGTGGGGCCTTGAAATTGGAGGTGATGTTCGGCATGAAATTAGTGCCCCTGGAGGGCTCGAAATTGGCGTCGGGGAAGGCGGCGGGTTGGGCGTCGGGGAAGGCGTCGAGAATGGCGACGGGTTGGGCGTCTGGTTGGGTGTCGGGTTGGGCGTCGGGGAAGGCGGCGGGAAGGGGGTCGGGTGGGGCGTCGGGTTGGGCGTCGGGAAGGGCGTCGGAATGGGCGTCGGTCGGGGCGTCGTAAGGGTCGTCGTCGGGGTGGTCGGCGTCGTCGTCGTGGGTGGCCCCGGCGGTTCCCATAGCCATGAAATCGATGTTCTGGTAGGTAGCTTCTGGATCCGTGATGTGGTCTGCGAAATTGAAGTTCTTGGAGGCCGTGAAAGTGGAATCCTGGAGGGCCGCAAAATGGATGTGTGCACCAGGCATGTAATTGGAGGCCTGGGAGGCCGCGAAATCCGAGGTCAGGTGCTACGTAAATTGATGTCCGTGGAGGCCTTGAAACCGATGTCCTTGTGTGAACCATCCGTGGCAGTGGGGTCCTGGTGGGTCGCGCCGTGGACTTGTAATGTGGCGGATAAGGTAGGAGGCCGTCTGGAGGGTCGCATCGTCGTCGTAAGCGTCGTCGCGGCGTCATGGTGGGAGTCGTGGGGGGCGGCGGAGGTGTCGGAGGGGGCGTTGGCGGGGGCGTCGACGGGAGCGTCGTCGTGGGGGTCGTCGAAGCTCATGTCGGTGGCCCACAGCGTGCGACTGCCGCACGGTATGCCTGCAGTGCGGCGGGTGGCCTTCCTGGCCGCCTCCTCGGTCTCGAAGTGGACGTAGCCGTGGTCCTGCGGGATGCCGTCGCCGTCGGCAACGATGTAAGATATGCGGATCTTGCCGAAGAGGCTGAAGGTCGCATGCAAAGCCACATTGTCGATGCCTCGCCAGATGCCCGTGACAAGGATAGTCCGCCGCCTGGAGGTCGAGTTGGGCGTCGTGTGGGCGTTCTGTTGGTGGTCGGCTGTGTCGTCGGGAGGGGCGTCGGGTTGGGCGTATTGTGAGGGGTCGGGAAGGGCGTCGGCTGGGTGTTTGGTGAAGCGTCCAAAGGGGCGTCGGGGTGGGCGGCGCGAGGGGTGCGTGGCTGGGCGTCAGTTGGTGTGTCAGTTAGTGTGTCGGGTAGGTCGTCGGGTGGGGCGTCGGCGGGGACGTCGGGTGGGGCGTCACTTGGCGCAGCGGGAAAGACGGCGGGAGTGGCGGCGGGGGTGGTCGGGACGGTCGTCGGCGGTGTCGTACGTCGGCGTAGTGTGGCTTGCGACATGGCGTTGTCGATGGCCTGCTTGACGTATGCGATGTCGGGGTAAGATACCGTAGGTCGTGCCGCAGCTGCCTCCAGGTAGCAATAACTGTCGTTGGTCTCCGCTGGCATGACGGTGGCCGCATACGGGTTCATCATGTGATCGGTGTTGGTGCTGGCGTCTTCTCTTGTAGAGGT